AAGTCCCCCCCCCCCGCGCGAGCACGCGCATCTTCAAGTAAACACGCGTCGGGTGCGCCTACGTATGACAACGACGATCGCGCTACACATGTTGGGTATCGCCGCACACTCCGGAGTGAGAGCAATAATTCTCGGGCCAGTATTTTTGGGTATCTCTAAACTGATGACCTGTGGGGGGCTTTTAAATCCTCTATGGACTATTTGGGATACTGAATTTTGTCGCCGTTTCATGGACGCATGCAATTTTTAACCTGGGCATGTTGGGTATCTATTTACTCGTTGTAACCTCATCTTTTATACTTTAAAAAAAAAACAGGTATTTTATTGTGTTGTGGGGCATTTAAATGCATTTTTTACAAAATGTTTGGGTTTGATAATACGTTGCGCTAATATCGTGCAGCATAAAAATTTGCAACTGCTGCCATTTTATTCTACAGGGTCTCGGCTTTCAGAAAATATATAATATTTGGGGGTTTTAATTAATTTTCAGGCCTAAAATGTGGATTATAACATGTAAACAAAAAATGAAACAAAGGCCTCGGTGATGAAGAGGTTACAGATAAAAAAAAGTCACCCGATGTACAGTAAATCCAAAGTTCTCCCACTGATGTAGATCCATCACCAATCACAAGGAACAACGGTTCTGCTATCTGCTGACATATATGCACTACATTAGCTCATCCAATGACAACACGGGTGGGTCCTTCCTCTTCTTCTCCGGTGGTGGTGTTGGGTGGTCCTTCTTCTTCTTTCTGGACTTTGCTTTATTCAGCCCAAGGGTACCGTGATCCCTGAATGCTTGGCGTCATCCTCCCAGGGGGCAAGTCCATGACAGCCTGGGCTCTCAGGAAGTGGGTTGAATGAAGGCTGGTGACATCTAGTGGCAGTAAGGGATTACAGAGATGGACAGCTCCGGATTGAAGATGAGTATTGAGGAAAAAAAACTCTTTTGCTTGTTATACTTTTTAAAAGTAGGAGTTGCCCTTTTCCTTTAAATGGCTTTAATGTAACCATTACGTGTTTCTAAGCCATTAAATGGCTGATGAATGCTACATCGGTGCTCATGCTAATACTCAACCTGTAGAACTCGATCTCTTGGTTCTTCACACCGTTTTATTGACTTGTATTCCCTTTAGGGCACGTCTAGAAGCATTTGCAGATCCAACTCTCAAGTTGCAGCCCCCACTTCAGGAGATCATAGATTGGCTAGGAGCGAAAGATGAAGAGCTGTCAGTTCAGCTGCCCCTCCGTGGTGACTTACCTGCAGTTCAGCAGGCCAAAGATAAACATCTGGTAAGATCTTCTGCACAATGTCCTCTTCCTTGTTGGATCTCTCCTGGTGGTGGGTGGTCCACAACGATGCAGAGAGCAGAGCTGACCTGATGAGCGCCTCTTTCTGCATCAGTGTATGTGAGTGCAGAGTGCCCTAGTGATGTCCACTTAGGGAATGGGTTTAAGACCTCTTGCAGTCACAGGATGTGGAATGGGTTGATGACCTCTTGCAGTCACAGGATGTGGAATGGGTTGATGACCTCTTGCAGTCACAGAATGTGTTGATGACCTCTTGCATTCATAGATTGGCTAGGAGCGAAAGATGAAGAGCTGTCAGTTCAGCTGCCCCTCCGTGGTGACTTACCTGCAGTTCAGCAGGCCAAAGATAAACATCTGGTAAGATCTTCTGCACAATGTCCTCTTCCTTGTTGGATCTCTCCTGGTGGTGGGTGGTCCACAACGATGCAGAGAGCAGAGCTGACCTGATGAGCGCCTCTTTCTGCATCAGTGTATGTGAGTGCAGAGTGCCCTAGTGATGTCCACTTAGGGAATGGGTTTAAGACCTCTTGCAGTCACAGGATGTGGAATGGGTTGATGACCTCTTGCAGTCACAGGATGTGGAATGGGTTGATGACCTCTTGCAGTCACAGGATGTGGAATGGGCTGATGACCTCTTGCAGTCACAGAATGGGTTGATGACCTCTTGCAGTCACAGGATGTGGAATGGGTTGATGACCTCTTGCAGTCACAGGATGTGGAATGGGTTGATGACCTCTTGCAGTCACAGGATGTCCTTGTGTTCTGGGTTGAGTGACACACAACATCATTAAGCTCAGAAGACTGAGATTGTAGAAGTAGAAAGTAATTACTGTGGGGGACAGAGCCAGAGAGGAGATGAGTGTTGTACCCAGAGCTAGATCTGTGTTTCTTCAAATTGCCTTGGATCTCTCCTGGCGGAGGGGGTCCACAAGGATGCAGAGAGCAGAGCTGACCTGATGACGTCAGCACCACTTTCTGCATCAGTCTATGTGAGTGCAGAGTGCCCTGGTGATGCCCCCTTAGGGAACAAACCTTGATAACCTTATGCAATCACAGGATGTGGAATGGATTGATGACCTCTTGCGGTCACAGGATGTGGAATGGGTTGATGACCTCTTGCAGTCACAGGATGTGGAATGGGTTGATGACCTCTTGCAGTCACAGGATGTGGAATGGGTTGATGACCTCTTGCAGTCACAGGATGTGGAATGGGTTGATGACCTCATGCAATCACAGGATGTGGAATACAAACAGAAGAAAAGTTGGCCACACACCGGATTCTATTGAAGGTTGTACCACATCACTAGTGTCCCGCCCAAGGTCCACCACCACTGATGCATTTCACCCAATCACAAGCTTAATCGTAGAGATGAGATATCTCTACAACTAAGCCCATGATTGGGTGAAACGCATCAGCTGTGATGGACCTTGGGCGGGACACCAGTGATGTGGTACAACCTTCAATAAACGATCCCAGTGGAATCCGGCGTGTGGCCATCTTTTCTTCTGTTTGTATGGGCTCATATTGAAGCGAGGACGTACTCCCAGCGGGCAAGCACCCGGCTCATTCCTACCCTGAGCCGTAGAGGAGCGATTCTTCTTTGTGTGTTCTCCTTTCCGGGGCACCATTTTTGGAATTGAACCTGTGCCCGAACTATGTGCATTAAAGAATTTCCACATTCTGAACAAGCTGTGAAGGCAGTTTAAAGCAAGCTCTCATTCACCTCTGTAGTTGTAGGCATTGTGGAGAAAGTCATTTTCAAATTCCCAACAAAGGCACCAGATTTATGCTTGTGGATGACTTTTATGTAATTGTTATAGCATCACGTCCCCAATGTGCGGGTCTTTGTGCTGTGGTAACAGGCTTATGTGTGTCCAGTGTGTATTTATATATTTGTTTATAACTCTTTAGCTGTTTATGGAGGAGGTCAAAGCACGAGGCCCTTACATATACTCCATTCTCGAGTCTGCTCAAGCCTTCCTCACCCAGCATCCTTTCCAAGATGCGGAAGAGGAAACGTCCACGTTGACCAAAGGTTAGTGTATAATGAACTGCTTGCCGACTTTATTATCATTTGTCTTAGGCCTGTAAAGCTTGAACACATTACTGTGTAATTCCAGACAATAGTATCTGGTAAGCCTTCCCGTTCATCCAAATGATCCCTACATACAGAATTTTGCTGCCAGTCTTATTATTAGCGATGCAACTATATCGGTTTATCAGTATCGAGTGCGAGTACCAATATTTGTTTTCCGGTACTCGCCGATACCGAATACCAATACCGGAAATCCCATTAAGGAAGCGAGGCGGCACTTAATGACTTGCTTCCCCATTAGCAGGGAAGCCGTCTCCATGCTCCCTCGTTACCAGTCATGTTTGGCTTAGCCGAAGTGCAGAGGGACTTCGACTCTGCCGATCCAACATCTGGATCGGCAGAGCCGAAGCTCCGGTAGCTCACTCGCTGCCATTCGCCCCTCGCGGCATTCTGCTATTTTGCCCGGTACCTCTGAGGTACCGAGCGGAATAGAAAAGAAGTTAAAAGAATGAGAAACAAAAAACAGTTGCCAAATTATTTTAAAAATGATTTAACAAATAGGAACATATATATATATTTTAAAGAAAAGAAAAAGAAATGAAAAAAAAAACCCCAAAAAAACAATTGGGTGGATCTAGCAGTGACAGCTAGAGTCTTCTAGCAGGTCCCGGCCAATGAATAACAACTGGGCGGAGCTGGCCGTGATGTCACCACCCAGTTGTTATTGTTTAATGACAGATCAGCATCCCCAGGTCAATTGGACAATGCTGATCTATTATTACAACTGGGTGGAGCCAGCCGTGAGATCTGGCTCTGCCCAGCTGTCATTTGCGGGGCGAACGGTCGACCTTTGGCAGGCAGTTCTCCCTGCTTCGGCTGTCACTTCGGCTCAGTCGAGCCGCGGCATATGCCATTGTGAATAGCCCATACAGCAGCCCTTCAGTTCGACTGAACCGAAGGGCAGAGGCGGCCGAAGAGAGCCAAAGGATCAGCCAAAGCAACGGCTGGACCCAGGCAGCCGCTATGTGGCCCGGGCACAGGGGGGCCCGCCCAGGACACCCCCCTGATGTCTATGGTGGGCTCTGCAGGGTCACCCTCAGGTGAGCTGTGTGGGATCTCAAGTGGGCTTTTCAAGGGGTGTAACTAGAAATCACAGGGCCCCATATAGAATTTTGCTATGGGGCCTTGTGATTTCTAGTTACGCCCCTGGCTGGATCCGCTATTTAGTGAATTAACCCTCTAAATTTCTAGTAGCCACATCACAGAAGGTAATGGGGGCTACAATAGTTATATTCTTGTAATCCAACATGGATCTCCTGCATTTTTGGGGCCTCATGTTTAACAGTTGAACCAGTTCTCTTAAGTGGAAGTGGCATGCCAAACTCCATAGGCATTGGTAAACATTTTCAATTGTTTTGAAGCAAACCGACGTCCATTGTCTGATCCAAACCTTCCTGGGAATCCATGTTCAGAGAATGTTATTCAATGGCAGTAGATGTCAAGGTTTTTTTTTCTCTGCTTCTGTTTAAACATTCTGCTGTGGGAATTCACAACCGCAGCATAAGTGCATTGTTCACTGTGAATAACAATTGGCCATTGTTGTAAGGGTATTGCATGCTCGGCCGAAGGTTCCCTGGGGTTAAAAGCATATTACGGCAAGCAGAATGGACATGTTTTGTGTTCTATTTATACAATCCTCATTTCCCATGTGCCCTTGTTTCAGCATTTTAGTTATAAACTAGCCTTTTATCTTTGCATAGTGACCAACTCTTCATTAAAGTAATAAAACTCTACCACAGTTGGCGGACGTGACGTATTAACTTTGGCCGGCCACTTATTAACAGTTGATGGTCATTAGCTGTGTTTCATTATCTAAAAACCGAGTGTGCTAAGCTTTTAGGGTGGGTACATTTTTGCTTATAGCATTGTGATGTTTGGGGATATTAGCACATATGGTGAGCGCTGTAAGGATGCAGGCCACTCGCAATATCTTCTTTTTAAGGGCCTGGTAGCTCACCTTTATTCAAACTAAAGTTCATACATCCACCTTGGATACTCTCGCAGGGGTTGTTCAGCATAACATCCATGCAATACTTCAAAACAACACAACCTTATCCTCTTGGCTTCCCCTCTACACATTACCACTTCTGGCCCACTGGTCCTCATGGAAGTGCTGCCCCACACTTGTACTAGCGGACCCTCAGGCTCACGGTTCTCCTAGCCTCAACCAGTTCTCCCCAGCCTCCCTGGCTGTCTACATGTGCCACCCCCTGACTCTATTTTAATTTCTGGGGGAGTCCTCCTGACCCCTCAACATGGCCTGTTCCTACTTCCCAGCAGGAGCTCACGTGACTCCTCTCTGACTTTTGGAGGAGTCCCCCTGACCCCTGAACACCGTCTGTTCCTACTTCCCAGCAGGAGCTCACCTGACTCTTCGACTCTTCTCTGACTTCTGGGGGAGTCCTCCTGACCCCTGAACACCGTCTGTTCCTATTTCCCAGTAGGAGCTCACCTGAGTCCTCTATGACTTCTGGAGGAGTCCTCTATGACTTCTGGAGGAGTCCTCCTGACCCCTGAACACGGTCTGTTCCTATTTCCCAGTAGGAGCTCACCTGACTCCTCTCTGACTTCTGGAGGAGCCATTCTGACCCCTGAACATGGTCTGTTCCTATTTCCCAGTAGGAGCTCACCTGACTCCTCTCTGACTTCTGGGGGAGTCCCCCTGACCCCTGAACATGGTCTGTTCCTATTTCCCAGCAGGAGCTCACCTGACTCATCTCTGACTTCTCAGGAGCTAATTCCCCTAGCCAGCATGCTCTATGTAAACCTGTGCAATCATTGGGTGTTGGCCACTGCTAAAGCCTGGACCTAGATATCACGTACCTGGTAGAGGACTGACTTGGTTGAGAGGACTCACTTGGTTGAGGAGGCCTCCTTTCGGCTCTTGTCTCACACCCGTGGAAGAGGGGACCGGGAAAGAGCAGACAGAGAGTAGCACAGGTGCCGAGATGTTCAGGCCCAGTGCCTGGCAAAAGTCCAGCAACAGATTCCCTGGGACGGTCGGCAGGGCTGGAAGCCAGCTGAGGGATAAGCGTGGTTGGCAGCAGGGCTGGAGAGAAGTCAAGCAAGCCAGGGGTCAAAGCCAGACAGTCAGAACGGTACCAAGGGAGCAGGCCGAGGCAGAATCCAGGAACAAGCAGAGGTCAAGACAGGCAGCAGTCAATCGTAGTCAAAGCAATCCAGGCCAAGGCAACAGGTGATCAAGCTTAGCAGAAACACAGGAACATAAGCTGAAAGACCGTTCAGCACTGATCAATGGAACAGGCCAGTTTATATAGGATCATCAATCAGAGGAAGACTTGTCATTTTCCCGTGCGCCACGTTAGCACGTCTGTTAAGTTGTGTGTGCATGTGCGCTAGCGCATGTTTTCCAATTGTACGGAAAGCTGGGACTCGCGCGTGGGTGATCATAACACCCAAATTCTACACTGGGATTGCCAAACAATACCACAGCATCTAGAAATGCTCAGGCATGGTAACAAATGGCCATCACATATACAGTGTGTAGTATATACAGTACAGATGTGCTGTGGTTCCTGAAGAGCATTCCCTTACTATGAACATAAATGCTCAATAGTATGTTGGGAGTGTGACCAAGATGGAGTCACACCTAGTGTATGATCGATTTATGGATGCAATATGGTTATACGATGCGATTGAGATATCGTTATGGACTTTTTAAGGTGCAATCGCTGGTTTAGTTCCATAACCGTGTCATGCCTTTTGGTTTAACCTTTTTGCCCCTAGATGCTTCCCCAAAGAACCGCTCTCAGACCATCAGTCGTTTACTTTGGAAGCAAGCGAATGTAGCAAGCGAGCTTTGGGACAGACTGACTGCCCGTGGTGTAGACCAGCAACGTCACCTGGAGAGAACGTTGGAACAGCTTCAAGATCTGGAAGTCTCAATGAAAGAGGCTGCCGATGCGCTTCAACAAGCAGAGAATGTGCAAGGAACTTGGGAAACCATCGGAGACCTGTTTATTGACTCCCTACCTGAGCACATCCAGGCTACCAAGGTAATAACCGGCCTTTTTTTGACATTTTTTACCATGGAAGAGCCCTTGAAATGATAAATGGACCTGACTTTTCTGGCCAATCAGATGTATCTTTCGGTTTAGTGCATCCGAATGGGTCTGAATCCAAATTTTCGATTTGCATTCGAGAGCTCCCGCATGCCATTCAGGTCTATAAGGGTCACAATGTTGCCGCCACGAATATGCGTTTGTATTACAAAATACTACTTATATATACATAATACTAAACAAGACCCGAATGGAGTCCAAATTGCTGAATAGCAATCAAGAGCTTCCGAATGCCATTCGGGTCTGGAAGCCTCAGCTTTAATATGGCTCCCAGCAGCGGTGTATTTAGGTTTCCTGCTGCCCTAGGCAAGACGAAACTTGCCCCCCCGCCCCCCATCTAAATTTATACCACCCTTCCTGTTCAAGACACTTTGCGTAACTTGTCAGTCGCTGATTACAGCTTCTGACAGGTTGCGCTATTAGCGTTGCAGGGAAGCCAGGGTCTCAGGTGGGCTGTAAAAGATCTTTGGTGGGCTCTGCAGGGTCTAAGGCTGAGACCGCCAAAGACCCTGCACAACCCACCACAGACCTTGCACAGCCCTCCTGAGTCCCTGCAAACCCCACCAGAGACCCCGCAGAGCCCACCATAGACCCTGCACTGAGACTCTTAGGTGGGCTGTGCAGAATCTATGATGGGCTGTGCAGGGTCTCTTTCCCTGCACACATGCTGCTCCTCTTACCTGAAGCTCCTCACACGAAACTTCTTCCTCCAGCCCCCCGCAGCCTGCGCCGGCTGGGCCGCCTCTCACCCGGCCCCTGCCATGCTTCGGCCTCCTGTTTCAGCTGCGAACACGCCCGAGCCCATCACTTGTGGTCACTTGCTAGTCAGTGGAAAACAGCCCATTACATTGACGATTAGCAGGAGAGGTTCCCTCTTTCATTGGTGGTCGCTGGGAGAAGTACTTCCCTAAATTAGTGGTCAGTGGGAATAATTCGTCCCTTACCATTGGATATAAGTGATTGTTATTGGTGTTAGTGGTTACCTAACTGCAGAGCTCCCACCAGCCCCAAACTTCTGGTTCTTAGGCCTTCAATAGGGGGGAAGTGTTATATAATTGGCCACTTTGCTGAACAATCTCTAATTTTGTGTAATTCTCTAGTTATTCAAAGAAGATATGAGTTCCATAAAAGACACAATCAAGATGGCGAACGATCTTGCCCACCAGCTGGCGGTTTGTGATGTTCACCTTTCTGTGGAAAATGCTCGGGAGCTTGAGCAAATGAACAACCGATGGAAACAGCTACAGGTAGGACAGAAAAACAACGAGCAGTCGACATTGGCTTGCCTGATACAAATAATCTAAAACGGCAATTAAATACCGACCCTCTTTGACCCCTTTATAGGGTGAAGGAAAGTACGCCTCACGGGATTGTGCCCCAAAAGATACACTTTGTGTCCTCCTCCCATATCACTCTATCTTCAGACCTACCCTGGAGTCCTCAGTGGTTTTACCACGGAGGACTCTATGATTTCTAACACTCGCCTTTACTACCTCCATATTTCTCTGTGATTCTCGTCTCTCAATGTTTGTGTTGTCTTGCTGCCTGTCTTCGTTTACTTAAAGGAGAACTATGAGGTGAGTGCTTTTCACTCACCTCATAGTTCTATCAGACCTGTGACAATGAAACTGTCACAGGTCGGCTCAGTAGATCAGGAGGTGAGCGAACACATATCGGCGTTCCCTCACCTCTCGATCCTGTCACGGCTCTCTGCCATGACAGGGGAGGGGCTGGGTTCCCCCCTCCCCGCTCTGATCCGCCCGCGCTGACTGGCGGAACGGACGGGGGAGGGGGCGGGTACAGCTGGCTCTGCCTCTAGATAGGCAGAGCCAGCTGTCAGTCACGCTGCTGGGCGGATCCCGGCACAATTGTCGGGATCCACTTCAGCTGCGGCGTCTCAGTATACCGCGAGCAGCTGCTCGCAGTATACTGTGGCGTCTCAGTATACCGCGAGCTACAGCTCCCTATATACTGAGCCTAGGGTGACGGGAGGACACTAGTTTGTGTCCTCCCGTTACACTAAGGAGAACTATGGGGAAAAGCCTTAACCCCATAGTTCTCCTTTAATGATATTACCGCTACCATAGACCAAACTTACAGCCTATTGGGTTTAGGTCACCGAACTGAAGGACCAATCGATCTACATACCCATTCCCTTGTCATATGTAATATGCATGTTAATCTCTCAGTATGGATCTACTGCTGCGTTAAGCGGGACTTATCAACAACACGGTCCTTATTGTATTGTATTGTATTGTAACCTAGCTGATTGACAGTTATGCGGCATTCCGCTTGGACGATGTGATATGTATGATCACACTGTATGTCTTTCACTTTTCTTATGTTCAATAAAACAAAAATGTTAATGGAAAAAAAAAAGGCAATTAAAGGGAAACCTAGACTGAGAGAAATAAGCTGGCTGCCATGTCTGATCTCCTCCTGAAGATGCTCGTTGTCTGGCAAGGATGCTGAGCGTCTGAATTCAATCATTCTTTAAATTGTGCAGCCAGGAAAGTCAGAGCTGGCCTCCTGCAAAGCTGTTCCAGGTCCCTAACTCGGGAAGCAATGATGCCTTCAGATCAATACACCAGTCAAGCCACCAGCATTTTCAGACCTTGAAGTAAGGAACAGGGATTAACAGACCACTTTGTACAGGTTGGACCTAAAATTACCATTGCCAGAGAGTATTCACATTGAAGGTCACCAAAATGAGTGTTTAAGGCTTTAAGAGGTTTTTTTTTTTTTTTTTTTTTTTTTTTTTTTTTTTTTCTTTTCTCCTCTCAATCTTTA